CTCTGACCATTTTTTTTAATTAAAATGCCGACTTTATGGTCTATTTTCGTATAGTATTTATGGTTGTATTCTCGTTTTCTTGGTCTCATTTGATAGAATGGAAAACATATTATAGAAATAGATGTGATTTTGATTGTTTTTTACTATAAAAAGAAACCTAGAAATGGAGCTCGAAGTAGGGGAAATGTTTGATTTTTGCCAATGTTCAAAAGTAAACAAATGATGCCATTGTCCAATAAATGTCCAACTAGCCATTCTAATATGCAGTCATGAATGGGTTGATGTTATTTATACAATTATTAAAGAATTGCAGTAATCTGCATAATAGTAAGTCTTCTATTTTTTGTTTGAAAAAAAATTCAAAATAGAAAGCAAGGTAATATCAGATGGGCCTGGAGAATGACTGATGAGCAAAGAAAATTTTATTTTAGAGCCAGGAATGTCTGCATTGTTCATTCTGGACCTTATTTTGAAATTGTCATATTTTTTAGTTTTCGTGAAATTGGCCAAATTGCAAATTTCTGACCACATTATTAGGTAGTTGAAATGGGTTTTAAAATGGGCAGTTTCTTGTACTCAATCGATAGAAAAAAAGGGGAGTTCTAAAAAAAATAGTTTGGTTTGGGCGACTGGAACAACGGAATTAGCGAAAAATAGGGCTCAAAGTGGGCGAAATTGCCGATTTGTAAACAGCGCCGAGGTCACTTACTTCGCGAGAGCATAATTCCATCAGTTTTCCATCAAATTCTGTTTTTTTGGTGTCATTACAATTGGGAAAAGATTCTCTATCATTTCATAAGAAAAAATATTTTTTTTTTTTTTTAAATTTTGCGACACCAGGAGACACCTCAGGATTGGGGGTTGCGACAGTCAAAGGGTTAATGTTGCAGTTTAAAAACTGTAGTGTAAAGCACCCTTCTGGCAAGACAGTGATGGAGTGAATGATGGTGAAAGTTTTTCTTTTTCGGGCCACCCTGCCTTGGTGGGAATCGGCCAGTGTGATAATAATAAAAAATATGAAAAATAGAAAAAAATGTATATCGGCAACACTTCTGCAAGCGGCAGGACTCGATGTTGCTATCGCATGAGCATCCAGTGCCAACTTCTCAGCCTCATGTCTCCGTAAGTACTAACCCTAAAAAAAATTTTTTATTCTTAAATACAGTGGACCCCCGGTTAATGATATTTTTTCACTCCAGAAGTATGTTCAGGTGCCAGTACTGACCGAATTTGTTCCCATAAGGAATATTGTGAAGTAGATTAGTCCATTTCAGACCCCCAAACATACACGTACAAACGCACTTACATAAATACACTTACATAATTGGTCACATTCAGAGGTGATCGTTATGCGGGGGTCCACTGTACTTAAAAAATGTGCTCTTTTTTTTATGATTTTTTTTTTTTTTTCAAAATATTCGGGGCACTGCGCAAGCGAACGTATATATACGTTTGGACCGTTTAAGGGTTAAGTCATTTATAGTTGGCAACATTTGTCTAACTATTATGCTTAATAATAGGCAAAGTATTTTTTGTTGTTGTTGTTATAATCTAAATAGCACTGGAAGCTGAAAGTGAATTTGTAAGGCTGTTCTGTCTAGTAATAACCTCAGTACACTCTGTAAAGTAATAATGCCCTACTATTACTTGCCTTATTATGTGCTTCCAGACTGAAATTTTATTTCATGCTGGGAAATGAAAGTCGAATCGACCTTAAATTTTAATAAGCTTTTTAAATTTTAGTGCCAGCAAAATCATGTTAAAATTTTTGCCTGTTATTTCAGACATTCCTATTTGTAGCAGAATTGAAAATTGTGATCTTCAAAAAGTTACTCTATCTGTATATGTTGGAAAATAGTTGAAGCATTTTATTTAATTATAGGTTTATGCTTGAATACTGTCTATGTTATATTACAGTTTTCACGTAAATGTATTTCCAGACAATATTAGGTACTGTATGACCCTTGTGGTTTTAGTGCTTCCCCATGATGATGAAACAATCTACGCTATACCAACACATCTTATATGTTCTTAGATATAACAGTGGTTCCAACTTTAATTTACAACAAGTTGTCCAAATGATATTACCTTGTGCCAGTCTAATTTTAAAATTGATTTTATATACTGTATATTAAACACTTAAAATAGGCTATCTTTTTTTTTAATACAGTGGACCCCTGGTTTACGATCAGCTCCCAATGCGACCAATTATGTAAGTGAATTTATGTAAGTGCGTTTGTATGTGTATGTTTGGGGATCTGAAATGGACTAATCTACTTCACAATATTCCTTATGGGAACAAATTCGGTCAGTACTGGCACCTGAACATACTTCTGGAATGAAAAAATATTGTAAACCGGGGGTCCACTGTACAGTATTATATTCTTATTACTACACATGATAAAAGAAAAACTTTATAGCTTTTTGCATTTTCGGGTCACCCTGCCTTGGTGGGAGACGGCTGGTATGTTGAAAAAAAATATACAAAAATACAGTGGACCCCCGCTTAACGATCACCTCCAAATGCGACCAATTATGTAAGTGTATTTATGTAAGTGCGTTTGTACGTGTATGTTTGGGGGTCTGAAATGGACTAATCTACTTCACAATATTCCTTATGGGAAAAAATTCGGTCAGTACTGGCACCTGAACATACTACTGGAATGAAAAAAGTTCGTTAACCGGGGGTCCACTGTATACAGAAGAGTGTTCGAGTGCCAATTCTGAACGAATTTGTTCCCATAAGGAATGATGTAAATTAGATTAATCCATTTCAAACCTCCAAAAATACACTTACAAAAGCACTTACATAAGTACACTTACATAATTGTTTTAGTTTTGAGTTGTTTGTATCCCGAGGTACCACTGTATATCCGTGGGAAAGTGTTAAGCCTACAAGAGTTAATTCCAGTTTCTCAAATCAAGAACCCTTGAAGGGAACAGGCTCTTGAAAACCAGTATTATCATGTACTGAAATGAAGTGTCAAGGTATTTTTTCAAATATGCACAAAATTGTGGAAATATAGATGATGGGGGCATTTACATGGAGTCAAAACAATATTCACTTTTATTTATTTTGTATATACTGCATGGTATTAAATATTTTTTAACATAATTTTTTAATTTTTATATCATATTCCATATTTTAGACTACTTTTGCATTCATATTATTTCTACTCTGAGCCGGACACAAGGTCTCATGAGGAATATTTTTATATATACATATTGGCAGTTTGGAGGGATATGTTGTGTATCTTTATATGTGTATGCTTCTAAACTGTTGTATTCTGAGCACCTCTGCAAAAGCAGTGATAATGTGTGAGTGTGGTGAAAGTGTTGAATGATGATGAAAGTATTTTCTTTTTGGGGATTTTCTTTCTTTTTTTGGGTCACCCTGCCTCGGTGGGAGACGGCCGACTTGTTGAAAAAAAAAAAAAAAATACATTACTAGCGAGTTCTTTACAATGCTCTAAGAGGTCTGACTAGTTTGAGTTCTGTAACTATTTATTATTTGAGGTGTCAAGCCCATATGAGTCATTCAGTGGATTTGTTGGTAAAGACTTGATCCTCCATTCATTCATTTATTGAGAGAGGTATGTTTAAGCACTTTAGGGATTTTAACAGCAGACTTCAGGGATTTTAATAGCATACTTCTGGGATTTTAATAGCGTACTTCTGGGATTTTAATAGCGTACTTCTGGAATTTTAATAGCATACTTCTGGGATTTTAATAGCATACTTCAGGGATTTTAATAGCATACTTCATTTCATCTGAAGGTACATACAGAGTTGGTCTTAATGGCAGACTTTGTTGAACATGTTTAAGGTAGCATTCAAATAATCAATATTTTCAGGATAGATTGATGATTGAGCATTATAGTGTAAAGTTAATATAACAGTTTAAAATACTGTACATAGTGTTCCAAAAATATTTTTTTATAAGTTTTGAAAGTTCATTCTTTTTGTGTACATAGTTTTTCTTTGTATAAAGTGAAGAGGAATAAAAAGAGTAAGAATTATAGGAGAATAAACCTGATGAGCAGGGAAGTGCACAGGAAATTTTATACAGCCTCTCCTCACTTAGCGACGTACTCGTTTACCAACAACCTGGACTTACGATGGGCTCTCTGACCAGTATTTATACCTAAATAATGCATATTAGAGCTGATTTCCTGTTCTGTTTATTACAATATACAGTACACTACTGTATAAACATTTAAAAATTTTATAAATGGTGCAAAGGTGACATTTAAACAATATCAAAGATGGTTGACACAAACCCACCACCATCATAGTATGCTCCTCACTTAGCAACAAATTCATTTACTGATGTGGTCTTAGGAATGCAACTCCATCGTTAAGTGAGGAGAAGCTGTATTAAAAGAATTAAGGCAAGATAAAGTATGACTGCAGAAGAACAAGATAATTTTATGAAGAGTATGGGTTGTACGGACCTACTGTTTACATTGAAGCTTGTAATTGAACAGTATATAGATAAAAGGTAAGGAATATTTTGTTGCATATATATACAGTGGAACCCCAAGTTTCGTACAGCTCCCAACTCGAACAATTATGTAAATGTATTTTTGTAAGTGCTTTCGTAAGTGTATTTTTTGTAAGTGCTTTTGTAAGTGTATTTTTGGGGGTCTGAAATGGACTAATCTAATTTACATTATTCCTTATGGGAACAAATTCGTTCAGTATCAGCAATCGAACAGCCTTCTGGAACAAATTAAGTTCGAAACTTGGGGTACCACTGTACATGTATTTAAAAAAGATATGCTAGGGTGGACAGTGGAGCAATATAGCAGATTGCAATGTGCAGAATAGGTGGTAGGTTACTTAGAGCAGGAAAGAGTTTGTGTTTAGTGAGGCTAAGGTTAGAGTGTGTATAAAAGAGATTATTTTACAGTAAATGTAAGCTTTAGGGATGTGTGATGTCACCTTGGGTGTTGAACATACGTATATAGATGGGGTAAAAAATGAATGCTAGGCTAGTATAGAGGTGTGGGATTTAATGACAAATTTGATACAAAGTGGAAGTTTTCTCATAGTGTCCAGACATGGTACTGGGACAACATGCCGTCTCACTCCTGGTTTTCAACTACATATTAAATCTGTAGCTTTGGACCGATCTCCATCAAATGAACATCAGTTCTGCAAAGTAAATAGAATAATCGTACATAAAATATGAATGCAATTGGTTTAAAACTAATCGAGAGAAAAAGTAATAATTCAACCTTAACAAAATTGTAAATATAAAATCTGTGGTTCTTTATCAATGAAATGTGAACTCTATACATGCATAAAATGAACATGCACATAGAACGAGTGTATTGTAAAAAATAACCAAGAAATAATTTTTATATATTGGTGATACAGATTGCAATGGTGGAAATGAAAAGACAACTGAAACTTTAATGACTGACATGAAAAGATGCAAGAAACTGCAATGATTGAATTGAAAAGACAGAAGAAACTGCAATGATTGAAACGAAGACGAAAGAAACTGCAGTGACTGAAACGAAAAGAGGTAGAGCCACTGTGATAGGTGAGGGATTATGGCCTTACTGACCTTTAAGTAGTAGGCAAGTTCTAAACCTAGAAAATGTAGCCCCTCTGGGAGCAGACCCTTAGCATAGTAAAGGTATTTTGGTCTTCATCTCTGTATTGGGACATACTGGGTGACGCTTACCACCAATAATAAATCACAATTCTGGTTCAGTCCAATAAAAAAGAGAGAGGACAAGTGCAGTTCCTTGGATAAGTGTCACCTGAGCTAAAGATGATAGAGAATGGAAATTACATTATCTCTCCAGAGGTGGTAAAATACCTACTGATTACAACCCGCTGAAAAGGTGTCATAGGAGCAAGTGCTGAAGGCTGTAAGTATTGAAGAATCAGAATCTGTTCTTGTAAGGAAAGGACTTTTGAAGAACTCTTGACCTAAGGAAACACGGCTACATTTCCCTCCCTCATTTCATTCCATTTCTGTAGTACTGTGTGACCCATGCAGGTGTAATATTTCTCCATGGAAATACAGTAACTGAAACCTATATTACCACTCTTTGATGAAGTATTAGTAGGCTGACATCTTAACACTGCCTATGAATGTTCAGGTAGCTGAAATGGAACGTTACATGGTTCATGACTAGGAGAAAAAATCAAGTGATGTAGATTATAATTATCACACAAATACAGCCCATGAGAGACTAAAGTAAAGCGATGTCCTGCCTTTTTAGGAAACTTGCTGGAAACCGCTCAGTCCATGTCAGCAACATTAAGAACAGAATACAGTCATGTGGAAAATGACATGTATAGTTGTGGTGTTCACTAAAGCAAATATTCGGCCATGAGTGACTTCATCGGTACTAATTAGAACTGATGACACCACTTGTGGCAAAATCTCCCATTAAATATAACTGTCTTGAACTATACATGGGTAAACTTTTCCACAGCTTGATATGTTGTTGTTGTTGTTGGTGTTTAAAGGGCCACAGACAGCATACGCAGTATTGAGCCCTGCCTTTCAGCGCTCGGAAAAGAATATTTCTGTACAATTTACAACCAGTATTGAGCGAGTACCGTACTTATTTGCTAACGTCTGTATGTTTTTCCATGCTGCACTAAAGAGGTATAGCTGTGGCATTTAGAGAACTAAGCACACTTGGCTGCCTGTATGATGTGACATGCACGAGTCCTTGCTTGCAGGAAAGCAAATTCAGGCAAATAGCTCAAGCAGCCAAGGAATCACAAAGGTATAAATTTGTGAATGCTTACACAAATAACTAGCACATAGGAGAAAGAAACTTACGATGGTGTTTCGGTCTGACTTGAACCATTAACTAGTCACACACAAGTGTGAATTTACGGTATTGTGCCTTTTTAGTCTTTACAAATGCTTTTCTCAGTTCCCTGACTAACAACAAGAAAACATGTAATAACTCGTCAATGAAGGTGTCAACAGAAAAAACAAAATGGTAAAAGAAATGTCTATTCAGCTTACCACCTTGCTTCTTTCAATGGCAATTTGAGTCACTTACTTAATTATTTTCATCAATAAAAATTAATAGCATTGCTGATGAAGTAACAATATTAAAAATCTACCACTTATCTACTGGAAATTAGGCTAGGCTAAAGAGTACAGTAATTAGCACACAATTACCTGATTCAAGTTACCCAAGATTCTTCAGTTCCATCTCCATCATTTTTTTTCCATGATTAACGAATTCTCTAGCAACTCTGCTTCTTCAGCTTCCAAAGTAACTTGATTCAGAATGAGGTACTGTACTGGTGACAAGTAACAAGCAGAGTATGAGATGGTGCAGGTGTTATTACATTGTTCTACCAAATGATATTCTGCCGAGTCTCTGCCGTTGCCCTAAAAATACACGAGGTGTTTGTTACTAACACTTTCATTAATACAACTGTCTTGTCAGAGGCAAGACAGTTGTATTAATGAAAGTTTTCAATTATATTTCGTTACCTGTGCTCAGTCTGTTCCCAGCATTTGTGCATTTTATGTCGTATTCTGGTAATTTTAAAAAATTTTCAAACTTTTTACTCATGTTATTGTTAATATTGTAATTATTAATTACAGTACAATGACCCCTAAGATTAATGCAAGTGAAGAGCCGCAAACCTCTTACTTGAAATCAGAAGCTAGAAATGATCAAGCTTACATTAAGAAAGTGCCACAGTTTCAACAGTAATTAGCTTTACCATTCAACAGCAACATCAAGGCAAGACTCTCCAACAACAAAGAGAAAAAGATGTGCTGAAGGCTCAGATGAAGCTCCATTACTTCCTTCTACTTTCCTTCAATAATTATTCATAAAATGTTCATTCATCAGTTACCATAAGCAAAGGATGAAAATATTTTAAGGTTAGCAATACAGTATTGTAGCCTTTTTTGTTATTTTTTGTTTTTGTATCTTTTTTTTTAGGTTTAGTGCTATTGCACACTTAATAAATGACAGTGTAAACATGTTTTTAGGCTTTTATATGCACTGGCAAGTGGAAAAAAAGGCTATGATTCTCTTTACAGCGGTGATCTGGAACCTAACCCGCCGTATCAGCGAGGTATATACCTGTATCAAACATGACCCACATTATTTCAGATCATGTCCTTTCCTCAACACCTCTACCATGCAACACTGATGACTTATAGCTCTCTTAAACATAGTGCTGCATGACATGGGTTGAGCATCTGTTGTGATTACAATGCAAAACTGTTAATATATTAATGAATCATTAAGAACCCCTCCCCTTGAGGCAGGTTCCTTGATGCTGGTGAGGGGCTCTTGATCTAGGGAACTGGATCTATTCCAGTTACCTGAATCAAGCCTGAATACCTTCCATCCACTCCCCCACAGGCACTATATAATCCTACGGGTTTAGCGTTCCCCCATGATTATAAAAATTAATAACTCCTACATTAAAATGAATATAAATTACTATCATTATTCAAGATTAATTATTACTAATTATTAATTATTAGCTGGAACTGATGGGATCATGACAGAAATGTTAAAAGCAGGGGGGGATATAGTGTTGGAGTAGTTGGTACTTTTGTTTAATAAATGTATGAAAGAGGGGAAGGTACCTAGGGATTGGCGGAGAGCATGTATAGTCCCTTTATATAAAGGGAAAGGGGACAAAAGAGATTGTAAAAATTATAGAGGAATAAGTTTACTGAGTATACCAGGAAAAGTATACGGTAGAGTTATAATTGAAAGAATTAGAGGTAAGACAGAATGTAGGATGGCGGATGAGCAAGGAGGCTTCAGAGTGGGTAGGGGATGTGTAGATCAAGTGTTTACATTGAAGCATATATGTGAACAGTATTTAGATAAATGTAGGGAAGTTTTTATTGCATTTATGGATTTAGAAAAGGCATATGATAGAGTGGATAGAGGAGCAATGTGGCAGATGTTGCAAGTTTATGGAATAGGTGGTAAGTTACTAAATGCTGTAAAGAGCTTTTATGAGGAGGTGTGGAGTTAATAAAAGCATTAGTCAGAGGGCAGAAGAGGGGTTGTTGAGGTGGTTTGGTCATTTAGAGAGAATGGATCAAAGTAGAATGACATGGAAAGCATATAAATCTATAGGGGAAGGAAAGAGGGGTAGGGGTCGTCCTCGAAAGGGTTGGAAAGAGGGGGTAAAGGAGGTTTTGTGGGCGAGGGGCTTGGACTTCCAGCAAGCATGCATGAGCGTGTCAGATAGGAGTGAATGGAGACGAATGATACTTGGGACCTGACGATCTGTTGGAGTGTGAGCAGGGTAATATTTAGTGAAGGGATTCAGGGAAACCGGTTATTTTCATATAGTCGGACTTGAGTCCTGGAAATGGGAAGTACAATGCCTGCACTTTAAAGGAGGGGTTTGGGATATTGGCAGTTTGGAGGGATATGTTGTGTATCTTTATACGTATATGCTTCTAAACTGTTGTATTCTGAGCACCTCTGCAAAAGCAGTGATAATGTGTGAGTGTGGTGAAAGTGTTGAACGATGATGAAAGTATTTTCTTTTTGGGGATTTTCTTTCTTTTTTGGGTCACCCTGCCTCGGTGGGAGACGACCAACTTGTTGAAAAAAAAAAAAAAAAAACATTCTATTAGACTATCCTGTCTACCAGTGAGCATGCAAAATTTACCTCTGATGTTCTCACCGCTCTAACACCCCTACTTTATCTTCCCTCCTCACAGACACCTTATTGACTTTTTTTGACAGCAATAGAGTTATTACACAAAATCTGATTATACAGTGGAACCTTGGTTTTCATATGCCCTAGTATGTAAAACTATAGTTCTTTCTTCTTTCAACAAACCGGCCATATCCCACCAAGGCAGGGTGGCCCAAAAAGAAATACAAAAGTTTCTCTTTTTAAATTTAGTAATTTATACAAGAGAAGGGGTTACTAATCCCTTGCTCCCGGCATTTCAGTCGCCTCTTACAACACGCATGGCTTAGGGAGGAAGAATTCTGTTCCACTTCCCCGTGGAGATAAGAGGAAATAAACAAGAACAAGAACTAGAAAGAAAATAGCAGAAAACCCAGAGGGGTGTGTATATATATGCTGGTACATGTATGTGTAGTGTGACCTAAGTGTAAGTAGAAGTAGCAAGATGTACCTGAAATCTTGCATGTTTATGAGACAGAAAAAAGACACCAGTAATCCTGCCATCATGTAAAACAATTACAGGTTTCCGTTTTACACTCACTTGGCAGGACGGTAGTACCTCCCTGGGTGGTTGCTGTCTACCAACCTACTACCACAGGACGGTAGTACCTCCCTGGGTGGTTGTTGTCTACCAACCTACTACCACAGGATGGTAGTACCTCCCTGGGTGGTTGCTGTCTACCAACCTACTACCACAGGATGGTAGTACCTCCCTGGGTGGTTGCTGTCTAACAACCTACTACCACGGGATGGTAGTACCTCCCTGGGTGGTTGTTGTCTACCAACCTACTACCACAGGATGGTAGTACCTCCCTGGGCGGTTGCTGTCTAACAGCCTACTACCACAGGATGGTAGTACCTCCCTGGGTGGTTGTTGTCTACCAACCTACTACCACAGGATGGTAGTACCTCCCTGGGTGGTTGCTGTCTAACAGCCTACTACCACAGGATGGTAGTACCTCCCTGGGTGGTTGCTGTCTAACAGCCTACTACCACAGGATGGTAGTACCTCCCTGGGCGGTTGCTGTCTACCAACCTACTACCACAGGATGGTAGTACCTCCCTGGGTGGTTGCTGTCTACCAACCTACTACCACAGGATGGTAGTACCTCCCTGGGTGGGTTGCTGTCTACAACCTACTACCACAGGATGGTAGTACCTCCCTGGGTGGTTGCTGTCTACCAACCTACTACCACAGGATGGTAGTACCTCCCTGGGTGGTTGCTGTCTAACAGCCTACTACCACAGGATGGTAGTACCTCCCTGGGTGGTTGTTGTCTCCCAACCTACTACCACAGGAGGGTTTAACCTCCCGGGGTGGTTTTTGTCTCCCAACCCTACCCCCAAGGAGGTAGTCCCTCCTGGGTGGTTGTTGTCTCCAAACTATACCCAGGTGGTAGTACCTCCTGGGTGGTTGCTGTCTCCCAACTTCACAGGATGGTATACTCCCGGGGGTGGTTGTTATCTCCCAAAACCTACTACCACAGGATGGTAGTCCTCCCTGGGTGGTTTGTTGTCTAAAAATACTACAAGGATGGTGTCCCCTTTGGGTGGTTGTTGTCTACCAACCTATACCCAGGATGGTAACCTCCCTGGGTGGTTGTTGTTAAAACCTATACCAAAAGGATGGTAGTACCTCCTTGGGTGGTTGTTGTTACCAACCTCTCCCACGGGATGGTATTTCCCCCGGGGGTTGTTGTTCCCAAAACCTACTACCACAGGTGGTAGTACCTCCCTGGGGGGTTGTTTTTCTCCCAACCTCTCCCACGGTGGTAGTACCTCGGGGTGGTTTTGTCTACCAAAACCTCTACCACAGGATGGTGTCCCTCCCTGGGTGGTTGTTGTTCCCACCTCTCCCACGGTGGTAGTAACTCCTGGGGGTTTGTGTCTAACGGGTAGCCTGGGGAAAAACTTAGTTATTCTCTTTTAAAATATTTTTTTTTTTTAAATATTTTTGGTGTTGGAAATGGTTTAAATTGGTTTTAAAATTTTTTTTTTGGGAAAATTAAAAAAAAATTTTAATTTTATGAAAAAAAACTTTGTTTTCCTAGGTAGTGGGTTTGTTAGACAGCAACCGCCCAGGGAGGTACTCCGTTCCCAAGGGTGTAAAAGGAAAAACCTGCCTGGTGGGAGGGGGGCCGACTTTTAAAAAAAAAAAAAACATAGTTTTACATAGAGACTGGACATACAAAAACTGAGGTTCTATTGTACTTCCTTTAACACCAACTCGACCTCAGTAAACACTCTCCCCCCGTAGTCTTTAAACAAGCATTTTAAACCCTTTAACAAACCCTCCCCCTGCAGTGCGGGGATGCCTTGGGGGGGTTTGGTTAGTTATGATTATAAAAAAATGGTAAGTTTTACCTTGTTTTTCATCTTCACAACCCCAAATTGGTACAGAATTCTTAAAAACGCTTCAAAAACCGCTCTTCAAGACTTAGAAGTGTGTTGTGTCCAAGAGCAGACACTGCATGCTCCGTGCTTATTTTCTGTAAATTTAAAAAAAGTTTTATTCATTGGAAAACACCAAAAAATTTTAAGGAATAATAAGCTCCTGGAAAACTGAGATTAATCTCAAAGGAAAATACTTTGATGTGTGAATGGCCCTTTATCCAAGTAAATTTGGCTATACTGGGGTGGAAAGCAGCATGGGTTTATGGAGACTGGAAAGCAACTGGTTGCCTGGAGAGGAAAGCAATATGGTTGCCTGGGGGCTGGAAAGAAAAATGGTTGCTGGGGGATGGAAAACAATTGGTTGGGGGACTGGAAAGCAACATGGTTGCCGGGACTGGAAAGCAATATGGTTGCCCCGGAGACTGGAAAGCAAATGGTTGCCTGGGGTGGAAAGAACTGGTTGCCTGGAGACAAAAGCACATGGTTGCTGGAGCTGGAAAGCAACATGGTTGGGGATGGAAAGCAACATGGTTGCCTGGAGACTGGAAAGCAACATGGGTTTCCGGGGACTGGGAAAACAAATGATTGCCTGGAGACTGGAAAGAAAATGGTTGCATGGAGACGGGGAAGAACTGGTTGCCTGGGGGCTGGAAAACAAAATGGTTGCTGGAGACTGGAAAGCAACTGGTTGCCGGGGACTGGAAAGAACATGGTTGCCTGGAGAAAGGAAAGCAACAGATTGCCTTGGGACTGGAAAGCAACATGGTTGCCTGGAGGCGGAAAGAACATGGTTGCCTGGGGTGGAAAAGCACATGGTTGCTTTGGGGGCTGGAAAAGCAACATGGTTGCCTGGGGCTGGAAAGCAAAAATGGTTGCCCTTGGGATGGAAAGCAAAATGGTGCTGGGGGTGGAAAACAACATGTTCCTGGAGATGGAAAAAAAAATGGTTGCTGGAGACGGGGAAAGAAATGGTTTCGGAGAATGGAAAAAAAACATGGTTGCCCGGGGTGGAAGCAAATGGTGCTGGGAGGGGAAAGAAAAAGGTTTCTGGAGATGGAAAGCAAAAATGGTTGCCTGGAGGGGTGGAAAGCAAAATGGTTGCCTTGGGGTGGAAAATAACTGGTTGCCTTGGGATGGAAAGCAAATGGTTGCCTTGGGCTGGAAAAAAAAGGTTTCCCTTTGGGGTGGAAAAGCAAACATGGTTGCCTTGGGATGGAAGCAACTTTGGGTTTCCTGGGAGATGGAAAGCAAAAGGGGGCCTTGGGACGGAAAGCAAAATGGTTGCCTTGGGCTGGAAGCAAATGGTTGCCTGGAGATGGAAAGCAACTGGTTGCCTTTGGGGCTGGAAAGCAACATGGTTGCCTGGGACTGGAAAACAACATGTTGCCTTGGGATGGAAAGAACATGGGTTTCTTGGGATGGAAGCAACATGGTTTTTCCTTGGGACTGGAAAAAACATGGTTGCCTTGGGATGGAAAGCAACATGGTTGCCTTGGGGTGGAAAGCAAATGGTTTCCTTGGCTGGAAAGCAACATGGTTCCTTGGGACTGGAAAGAACATGGTTTCCCTTTGGGGCTGGAAAGCAATGGTTGCCTTGGGACTGGAAAGCAACATGGTTGCCTTGGGACTGGAAAGCAACATGGTTGCCTTGGGACTGGAAAGCAACATGGTTGCCTTGGGACTGGAAAGCAACATGGTTGCCTGGAGACTGGAAAGCAACATGGTTGCCTGGGGACTAGAAAGTAACATGGTTGCCTGCAGACTGGAAAGCAACATGGTTGCCTTGGGACTGGAAAGCAACATGGTTGCCTGGGGACTGGAAAGCAACATGGTTGCCTCCCATTTCCCAGACTCTACAGTATGACCCACAGTTTCAACACTTCCCACTCATGAAAAAAAAAAAAAATAGTATCCTGAGAAATTACAGTACAACAGCCTTAAATTATTAGTTACAAAACTAGTGTTGAAAGTATAAGAAACATTGTATGAGCCTTGCTGGTTTAGCACATTTCAAAGGTCAATATAAAAATAAACGTTTAAAGCATACACCACTCAAGGAAGGTTCTGTGAGGGACTCAATCTAGAGAATTGAATCTGTACTCCAATTCTCTGAATTAAACCTAAATGCCTTTCACCTCCCCCCCCCTCCCCCACAGGCACTATATGATCCTTATGGGTAAAACACTATTCTAATTTCTGAGTAAAATATTACTGGTAGCTATACAGACTTTGTTTCAACAGTGAATACTGCACATATTGGCAGTTTGGAGGGATATGTTGTGTATCTTTATATGTGTATGCTTCTAAACTGTTGTATTCTGAGCACCTCTGCAAAAACAGTGATAATGTGTGAGTGTGGTGAAAGTGTTGAATGATGATGAAAGTATTTTCTTTTTGGGGATTTTCTTTCTTTTTTGGGTCACCCTGCCTTGGTGGGAGATGGCCGACTTGTTAAAAAAAAAAAAATTAATAAATTCTTCCTCTGTAAGCTGTGCATGTCATAAGAGGCGACTAAAATGCCAGGAGCAAGGGGGCTAATAACCTCTTCTGACCTAAAGAGAATAACTTTATTTTTTTGGTAGGATGCAGCTGGTGTGTTCAAAAAAACATTAAACAATTTAGCTTTCAAACTAATAATTGTACTATACAAACGTAAGCCACTGTTGAAGGAGCCGCTGCTGCAGTATTCGGCAGACTCCTGAGCCAATGAGATGATTCTTGCAATATTGACCATCTGTGTGGCTGCATCTCTGGTACAAAAAAATAATTATTGTAATTATGCAATATCTTATTCATTATCATTATTACTGCCTCATTCCTCACCTTCATGGAGGAAGGAAGGAATACAACAAGACAGAATAAGCAGGGACAGTATTATAAAGAGGGCCAAGGGATATGTAATAGTGACATGACCTTTCATAATACAGTACCTTATTTAGTAAATTTATTTAGTTACAGGTACACATAAGCACAATTATCATACAAACTTTGTTCAATCCAAAATTGTCCATTATTGTTAGCATCACGAAAAACCAATCTCATCATTAAAATTGAATGAGCAGTCAGCATTACCGAACACCCTTCCCCTAGTCCATTATATCAATGTTTCACTGTACTTGAACACAAATATTATTACATACTAACCCACAATCTTGGGGCGAAGTATAGAAATGAAGTTCATCAATGATAATGAGCGTGGGTCTGTCTGCAGCAGGAATCAAGTGGAGAGACGCTAAATATCCTTGTAGCTCTGATGTGTGACGTGCATACCTGAGAATAATGAACAATTATGTAGTTTTCAGTGGAATAATTAACATTAGAACTGGGTAAATGCAAGCAAGCAGAGTAAAATTAATTACTGTAGAGAAAATTGTACTCACCTCATTACACACAGGAAAAAAATAATCAAGAACACCCTTAAGATGTCAGCAACATCTTTGTATAATAAAAAACTAACAGTAAAACTCAATGTTTACAAACGTGTAACATTAAAATGATAAATTCTCTGGCTAAAAATTTTCCTCATATACACTTAACAATATTAATACTGTAATGACGTAGAGTCTATAAGCATAGTATTAATTCCACTTGTACAGTTCTAAATAGCTCATTACTGATTTAACTCTATATCCATGTATCCACAAATACATATGCATATGTGCAAACGTGTGTGTGTGTCAGTGCCTATTAATAAAAAGAGTTTGAGAAAAAATTTGCACTATTCATTGAATCTTACTGTCTGATAATCCTTGGTGGGATACGGCCAGTTTGTTGAAAAAAGATGTCTCAAAATGCACATATTTCCACAAGATATGGTACATAGTTTTACAAGACTAGATAACTGAAAGTATTCGTGAAAAGTCCCTGGTTATGGTCCTCATTCAGTGTTTAGTAAATATCATGTAAGAAAACCCTAAATATGATAGGCTTTGGAAATACAAAACAAAATCCACTGGGTCAGATTGGAAACAATGGACGAAGTCTGTTGGTTACAGAAACGTTAATTATTATTAAAATCACTGCATAACAATCTCTTCTCTATCCATCACAACTGCCATTAGTGTCCACTCACTCCCCCCTCAATTAGTCCATCACATAGTGAGTGTACTATGCCTATTCTATACCATGTTTAATGTACAGTGCTATAAGTTTAATAAAAACTCTGCCCAAAGTGCATAACTATGGATTTTTCCCCCCTCAAGGAAGGTTCCTTGATGTTGGTGAGGGGCTCTTGATTTAGGGAATTGGATCTGTGCTCCAGTTCCCCGAATTAAGCCTGAATGCCTTCCACATCCCCCCCCAGGCGCTGTATAATCCTCCGGGTTTAGCGCTTCCCCCTTGATTATAATAATAATATGGATTTTTCCATGCACAGTGGAACCTTGGTACTTAAACACCTCCGTAATTGAACATTTCAGTATTCAAATGTTATTATTTGCATAATAAGTCATCATGGGGCCTAAGAGGGTTAGTGATAACAGCCAACCAAAAAGAAAATTGGTTAGGAAAAATTTGTTCTGTACTCGAACAGCCTTCTGGAACCAATTAAGTTCGGGTGCTTAGGTTCCACTCTATTATAATAATGCAATACTATACTACATAGGGAAGTGGAGAAGAATCCTTCCTCTGCAAGCCATGAGTGTCATAAGAGGCAACTAAAATGTCAGGAGCAAGGGGTTATTAACCCCTTGTATAAATTACTAAATGTAAAGAGAAAGAAAACTTGTTTTTTTCTTATTTCAGGTCACCCTGCCTTGGTGGGAGGCAGCCATATAATGTCATGAAAATAAACTTTATTGACTTTATATTTTCGGTTACATGACACCACTAAAATCTATAAGTGGGAGGCTCAGACTGGTAATACGTATTCAGGTTTAGGGGCTTTAATAGTATTTTTGTAATTGAATAGTTTTATGCAAACTTACATTTTCTTAAAGTAGGCTCTGAAATATTGTAAATTGTACATACAGAAATGTGATGTTATTCATAGCTGATGACGACGCCTGGGGCATCCCATGGACACCTGGGGGAAGACTGTCGAGTTTCTTGGGTGCTACAAAAAGTACCCGACCACCTCCAGCACCTTCTGTTATGGCCGCCTGTAAGTTTTAACTCATTTTAGAAATTAGTTGACTTATAGGATTCTAATAATGTGGAAATTTTAGAAATAATATGAAATAGTATTGCAACACCTGGTCGTGGACTGAGCTAAGGGGGCGGTGACCCCCGGAACACCCTCCAAGTATATTATATTTGAGGCATTGCCGATACTAAGAACAAAATCCAGACTTTAGATAATGCAAAATATGCTGTACCTTAAAATAACACTATTGTATATTAATCTTTGTAAAATATAAATAAAAACATGAATATAAAAAACACTATTTTTCCTTGCATAAACAGTGCTAAAAATACATACTGCTAGTAGTGTTATTTAGACATGATACATAGTTGTACAAAGAAATATAGTGATTGGGTGTACTACATGCCTAAAGCCCCTTGTATGCAGAGCATTATGGGTAGGCTTAAAATTAACTTAAGATTAACTCAGTAATGATATGTTCACTGGTAAAAATTATAGTAAACAAATTACAACATATGAAGGATTATAGTAACAATTTCTAGCATAACAATGTATAATATAATCCGATCAAATCGAGTAAAATCAATGATTTGTAGCACAGAAACAGGTCATATGGTCATTAGATGAGTTACTGAGCATTCAAGAGAATGGAGTATTATATTAGGTAATGTAATTAAAAAAAACATAGTTTGATAGGGTCACAGTTTACTTAGGCTTTAAGTACATCAAAAATTTTCTGACCATGAGGGTGAACACGTTACAGTATAGACACATAAAAACTATAGTAAGACATGTAGAGTTAATCTAGAATAATGCAATAAAGCCAAACAATATGATTTATGTTCATTATTTAGTTTTTTTTTTATTAACACATCGGCCGATTCCCACCAAGGCAGGGTGGCCTGAAAAAGAAAAACTTTAATCATCATTCACTCCATCACTGTCTTGCCAGAAGGGTGCTTTACACTACAGTTATAAAACTGCAACATTAACACCCCTCCTTCAGGGTGTAGACACTGTACTTCCCACCTCCAGGACTCAAGTCTGGCCTGCCGGTTTCGTAAGTAATTTTACTCTTAGGTTATTCTGCTGTAAAGAATTTTAGAATATACTGTAGTAGACACAAGTGAGAAGTATTATTGCATAATTACTATTATTATTAATAATGTATTCATGGGTAACCACTAAGCTTGTAGGGTATGTCATACAATAATTAGGGTTGATTCAAGAAAGGGTCAGGTTGCATCAATTCCTTAGCTTAAGAGCCCTGCGCTAGCATCAAAGCACCTTTCCCTTGTTGCCTCTGTTCACCTAGCAGAAAATAGGTACCTGGGTATTAGTTGACTTATGTGGGTTGCATCCTTAACCTAAGTTGCCCGAAATGCTCTGCATAAGCAGGGGCATTCTATATTGTGTGTCACTGATGTCAGCTATAGTCTGTATAAGTTCTATCATGTACTTGTAGAAATAAATATTTGCCAGACCCCCATAGTGGACAGAATGTTAAGTGAAAGGCTCGGTCTGTTTATGGATCTTTGCTTCATGTGCTGCTGTGAATTTAAATATTGCACCCACTTGCATAAGCATTGCAGTCTTCATGGTGGAAGGAGGTCCCATGATGCAAGCTGTTGGCACCTTAGAGAAGCTACTGTTGCGTCGGTCATCTATTGCATCCAGGCTGGACTGCAATGGAAACACTCGCTCCATTATCCCAGCCATTGTTCAATATCTGAAAAAATGAAATAAGAGTCCGCATTTTATTCATATCTGTTGCTACACCACAAATCTGCTCTTAGAAGAACCACTTATTTAGGATATACACACACACACACAGGAGGCAGATTGAACCCTGCAACCACATACAGGTAAGTACATACACCTTCTGTGCCCCTCAAGGAAGGATCCATGATGTTGGTGAGGGGCTCTTGATCTAGGGAATTGGATCTGTGCTCCAGTACCCTGACATCAGCCTGAATGCCTTCCACCCCCCCCCCCACAGGCGCTGTGTAAGTCCAATGGGTTTAGTGTTCCTCCATAATAATAATAATGCCCCCACAGCCCAGTCCTCAACCAGCCTCCTACTGGATCAGGGCCTGATCAACCAGGCTGTTACTGCTGGCTGCACGCAGTCCAACGTACAAACCAAAGCCTGGATGATAGGGCATTCAATTCCCTCTTGAAGACAACCAGGGGACTATTTGTAATCCCCCTTATGTACAATGGGAGGCTGCTGAACAGTCTTGGGCCCCGGACATTTGCAGTATAGTGATTTCTCTCAGTGTACTCGTGGCACCCCTGCTTTTCATTGGGGAAATGTTGCTGTTGTAGGGAGTGATTTGGAACCTGTCACTCTAGGATTTTTCAGGCGTAGAGGATAATATATCTCTCTCACCTAAGTTCTAGGGTAAATAAGTTTATTCAGGTATACACAAATACAGTTACATAGATTATCATACATAGGAGCATATGTGTAGAGAACCTAGAATAAGCCAAAAAAGTCAGTGACTTATTACCCTAGGGGTTCTGTACTTATTTCCACTGGGTACTTCCAGGGAGTACAAGTCAAAGGACTTTAAATGTTCCCAGTCATTAATAATAATATCTTTATTTCTACATGTACAAGGTATACAGACCATAGCTGACATCAATGACATACTACTATATAGAAAGCTGATTGTTATACAGAGCATTTCCCACAAATTAGGTCAATTTTGTCCCCAGGATGTGACCCACACCAGTCCACTAACACCCAGGATGTGACCCACACCAGTCCACTAACACCCAGGATGTGACCCACACCAGTCCAATAACACCCAGGATGTGACCCACACCAGTCCACTAACACCCAGGATGTGACCCACACCAGTCCACTAACACCCAGGATGTGACCCACACCAGTCCACTAACACCCAGGTGAACATGAACAGCAGAGATAGAGTTTCGTCTGCCTTGAAAGGGGCTGTTAGTGTACAGTTAGTATTCCACCCTAGACAGAGCAAGTAGGTACCTGGGTATTAGTGGACTGGTGTGGGTCGCATCCTGGGGGAACAAGATTGAGGGAATAAGACAATCCTTGATGATGCATTGAATTTGCTGGGTTATCCTGGGTGGCTAACCTTCCAGGGTTAAAAATTCCAACAAAATCTTAACCTGAGATATATAACAAAAGTCCTGTGTTTTAGCGCTTCTTTTTGATTATATAATAATATAATCAAAAGTAAGCGCTAAAACCACCAGGGTACCTTGATTTTACCTCTAACCTCCAGAGGCTCCAGAAAAAAAGGTATTATCCAAATCTGCGCTAAACCCACAAGGATAACAGATTAGGTGGACCCCAGGCAAAACAACACATATACAACATCTGGGTATCTTTATTTGTAGACGTTTTGCTCACCAGTGGCTTTATTAGTACAAATTCAAGGACATGAGACTACAAAACTCTACAAAAGATAGGTAATCTGTCCCTCATCTGGTACTCCAATACGAGTACCGAACATGTTGGTGATGGAGGTATTAAGGGTCCACCATGGTGAGAGCCGTATTAATAATAATAATAATCTTTATTTCTACATGATACAACTGATACAGACCATAGCTGACATCAGTGACACCAATTCTGTCCCCAGGATGCAACCCACATCAGTCCACTAACACCCAGGTACCTACTTACTGCTAGGTGAACACTGACAGCAGGTATCTTAAGGAAACACGCCCAATGTTTCCACCCGTACCGGGGATCGAACCAAGGACCTCAATATATGAGGTGAGTGCGCCACCAACTAAGACAACCTCATTGTTAATGATAAGATTTCATTCTATACAGGAGATTGCAACAATTATGATTGCTTTAATGGTAATATCAAGTTTTTTAAGATTACATTCCATACCGTGTTGTGGTTTAGAAAGTCACGTGACCAATGCTAGAGCTTATTTAATTGAAAAAATAAGGTAGTGGGACCTTGCTAAAGTGAATGTAATTTGGTTTCGTATTACAAAGGTTTATATTTTACTGTATATTACGTATATTAGCTATATGAGGTAACTGTAATGCATGATGTTTCTTTCTAGGATGTCCTGTGGTTCAGTTGATAGAGCGCTTGACTCGCAAGATGATGTCCAGGGTTCGATCCCGGTACGGGTGGAAACATTGAAATGTGTTTCCTTAAGACATCTATTATCCATGTTCACCTATAAGTAGGTGCCTGGGTGTTAGTGGACTGGTGTGGGTGGCATCCTGGGTGTTAGTGGACTGGTGTGGGTCACATCCTGGGTGTTAGTGGACTGGTGTGGGTTGCATCCTGGGTGTTAGTGGACTGGTGTGGGTTGCATCCTGGGTGTTAGTGGACTGGTGTAGGTGGCATCCTGGGTGTTAGTGGATGGGTGGGGTGCATCCCGGGTGTTAGTGGGGCTGGTGTGGGTGGCATCCTGAGTGTTAGTGGACTGGTGTAGGTGGCATCCTGGGTGTTAGTGGACTGGTGTAGGTGGCATCCTGGGTGTTAGTGGACTGGTGTAGGTGGCATCCTGGTTTTTAGTGGACTGGTGTGGGTCGCATCTGGGTGTTAGTGACTGGTGTGGGTGGCCCTCCTGGGTGATAGTGGATGGTGTAGGTGGATCCTGGGTGTTGGTGGATGGTTTTAGGTGGCATCCTGGGTTTAGTGGACTGGTGTAGGTGGCATCCTGGGGTTAGTGGACTGGTGTGGGTCGCATCCTGGGTGTTTGTGGGCTGGTGTGGGTGGGATCCTGGGGGGTTAGTGGACTGGTGTAGGTGGCATCCTGGGTGTTAGTGGACTGGTGTAGGTGGAATCCTGGGTGTTAGTGGACTGGTGTAGGTGGCATCCTGGGTGTTAGTGGACTGGTGTGGGTGGCATCCTGGGTGTTAGTGGATGGTGTAGGTGGCATCCCGGGTGTCAGTGGACTGGTGTGGGTCGCATCCTGGGTGTTTTGTGGACTGGTGTGGGTGGCATCTGGGTGTTAGTGGACTGGTGTGGGTGGCATCCTGGGTGTTTAGTGGACTGGTGGGGTCACATCCTGGGGGTTAGTGGACTGGTGGGGTCACATCCTGGGTGTTAGTGGACTGATGTGGGTCACATCCTGGGTGTTAGTGGACTGGCGTGGGTCACATCCTAGGTGTTAGTGGACTGGTGTGGGTCACATCCCGGGTGTTAGTGGACTGGTGTGGGTGACATCCTGGGTGTTTTGTGGACTGGTGTAGGTGGCATCCCGGGTGTTAGTGGACTGGTGTGTGTCGCATCCTGGGTGTTAGTGGATGGTGGGGTACATCCTGGGTGTTTTTGGGACTGGTGTGGGTCACATCATGGATGTTAGTGACTGGTGTGGGTCACATCCTGGGTGTTAGTGGACTGGTGTGGGGGCACATCCTGGGTGTTAGTGGACTGGTGTGGGTCACATCCTGGATGTTAGTGGACTGGTGTGGGTCACATCCTGGGTGTTAGTTTGGGCTGGTGTGGGTCACATCCTGGGTGTTAGTGGACTGGTGTGGGTCAATCCCGGGTGTTAGTGGACTGGTGTGGGTCACATCCTGGGTGTTAGTGGACTGGTGTGGGGGCACATCCTGGGTGTTAGTGGATGGTGTGGGTCACATCCTGGGTGTTAGTGGATGGTGTGGGTCACATCCTGGGTGTTAGTGGACTGGTGTGGGTCACATCCTGGGTTTTTAGTGGACTGGTGTGGGTCACCTCCTGGTGAGTGGACTGGTGTGGGTCACATCCTGGGTGTTAGTGGACTGGTGTGGGTCACATCCTGGGTGTTAGTGGACTGGTGTGGGTCACATCCTTGGGGGGGTTTGTGGACTGGTGTGGGTCACATCCTGGGTGTTAGTGGACTGGTGTGGGGGCACATCCTGGGTGTTTGTGGGGCTGGTGTGGGTCACATCCTGGGTGGTTTGTGGACTGGTGTGGGTCACATTCCCGGGTGTTAGTGGACTGGTGTGGGTCACATCCTGGGGGTTAGTGGACTGGTGTGGGTCACATCCTGGGTGTTAGTGGACTGGTGTGGGTCACATCCTGGGTGTTGTGGAACTGGTGGGGGGTCACATCCTGGGTGTTGTGGACTGGTGTGGGTCACATCCTGGGTGTTAGTGGACTGGTGTGGGTGACCCTCCTGGGTGTTAGGGGGACTGGTGTGGGTTTACATCCTGGGTGTTGTGGATGGTGTGGGTCACATCCTGGGTGTTAGTGGACTGGTGTTGGTGACATCCTGGGTGTTAGTGGACTGGTGTGGGTCACATCCTGGGTGTTAGTGGACTGGTGTGGGTCACATCCTGGGTGTTAGTGGACTGTGTGGGTCACATCCTGGGTGTTAGTGGATGGGGTGGGTCCATCCTGGGTGTTAGTGGACTTGTGGGTCATCTGGGTGTTAGTGGATGGTTTTGGGTCACATCGGGTGTTAGTGGGGCTGGTTGGGTCACATCCTGGTGTTTAGTGGATGGTGTGGGTTTACATCCTGGGTTTAGTGGACTGTGTGGTCACCCTCCTGGGGGTTAGTGACGGTGTGGGTCAACCTGGGTGTTTTGGGGGACTGGAGTGGGTCACTCCTGGGTGTTAGTGGACTGGTGTGGGTCACATCCTGGGTGTTAGTGGGATGGTGTGGGTCACATCCTGGGTGTTAGTTGATGGGGTGGGTCACATCCTGGGTGTTAGTGGGACGGTTGGGGTCACATCCTGGGGTTAGTGGATGTGTGGGTCACATCCTGGTGTTAGGACTGTTTGGGTCACATCCTGGTGTTTAGTGAATGGTGAGGGTCACAAACCCGGGTGTTAGTGGGCTGGTTGGGTCACATCCTGGGTGTTAGTTGGGCTGGTTGTGGTCACACCTGGGTGTTAGTGACGGTGTGGGTCACATCCTGGTGTTAGTGGAATGGTGTGGGTCACATCCTGGGTGTTAGTGGACTGGTGTGGGTCACATCGGGTGTTAGTGGACTGGGGTGGGTCACATCCTGGGTGTTAGTCGTGGGACTCGGTGTTGTGACGGGTCACATCCTGGTGTTAGTGGATGTGTGGGTCACATCTGGGTTGTTAGTGGACTGGTGTGGGTCACATTTCCCGGTGTTAGTGACTTGTTAATGAGTGTATAGTGGACGGTGTGGGTCACATCTGGGGTTTAGTTTGGGCTGGTGTGGGTCACATCCCTGAGTGTTAGTGACTGGTGTTTGGGTCACATCTGGGTGTTAGTGGACTGGGTTGTGGGTCCAATCCTGGTTTTAATGGAGGTGTGGGCCAATCCTGTTTTTAGTGGATGGGGTGGGTCACATCCTGGGTGTTGTGGCTGGTGTGGGTCCATCCCGGGTGTTAGTGGGTGGTGTGGGGCACATCCCGGTTTTTATGGACTGGGTGGGTCAATTCCCGGGTGTTTATGGACTGGTGTGGGGCACCCTGGGTTAGTGGACTGGTGTGGGGGCACATCCTGGGTGTTGTGGGTGGGGTGGTCAATCCCCGAGTGTTAGGGTGGTGTGGGGGCAATCCTGGGTGTTAGTGGGCTGGGGGGTCACATCCCGGGTGGTTAGTGGACTGGTGTGGGGCACTCCGGGTGTTGTGGATGGTGTGGGTCCCATCTGGGTTTAGGGACTGGTGTGGGTCCCCCGGGTTTTTGGGGGTGGTGGGGTAATCCGGGTGTTAGTGGATGGTGGGGTCCACCTGGGGGTTAGTGGGCTGGTGTGGGTCACATCCGGTGTTAGGGGATGTTGGGTCCCTCCTGGGGGTTTGGATGGGGTTGTTCCCTCCTGGTGTTAGTGGGTGGTGGGGGTACATCCGGTTTTAGTGGCTGGTGGGTCACATCCGGGGGTTAGGGACTGGTGTGGGTCACTCCTGGGGGGTTGTGGACGGTGTGGGCACA